AAATCGTCGAGGGTAATTGAGAATATAATTCCATCTAGTAGCATGGAGACTGCATGAGGGTCGAGGGATGTGAAATTTACCAGCCAGCCCTTGCCACAGAATGTCCATAAAGTAAACATTATCCGACATTGTCCCAACCCCTGACAGAGTTTTGAGAGTCTTGCTCTGCTCTGCTCCTAAATTATCTACACGCACACGTAGGAACGCGATCCATAATTCAGAGCAACGGCAAACCAATGAGCGGAAGTGTAGAGCTGCGAGAGGACTGGGGAGAAGGATTGATAGCGGCGTTGTTCCTTCACTGTTTCCCTTAGCATCTGCCCGCAAGGTCGTTGGAATAATTTAAGGTCGACTTGTCCCATTCCCCCTGCATCTAATTATAGACCTCTATAGAACGGCTATAAACGATTATGCGCGTATCACGAGGAGGCTTACATCGACCGGAAGTGTCGCTTTACCTTGGCCTTTGCCTGGCTCCTATCAAGGTATCGTCATCCAAAGGGCCACCCAATTTCGGCGGAAGTTCTAGCTCCGATATCGATATTCCAGTGACATCCTAAATACCTCGAAGTTAATCTCCTCTGGATGGAAACTACTAACAATTTCCATATAGCAAGGTTCTAACAACTCCTCACTCACTCTATCCAAACATAACCAATTCTACGAAAAGGCTACTGTTGGCATAAATTAGGTCCACATATCTCCATCAACAACTTAACAGGTCAAGATGACAAATTTCGAGATTCAGCTCACCTAACAGTACCAATATCGGTGGAATCACAATTGGGTTCAACCAGAATTTTCACCAGAAATATTTAATACAAATTACCAAACCCAGAAGCTTCGAGGCTGTTCTCTTTTTATTAGAAACGCAGTAGACAACCTTGTTGCTCGTTATTCACGATTAATTATCCCGCGCAGTTCGCGCGTTAGGAAATAGCTCCTCGAGCGAGACGCGCGCGGCCGCGTGTCTATTTCGAAAGCGCGTCGATGTGAATCCCCTCTTGACAAGGGAGAAGCGTTACCGAGCAACGCGCAGCAGAGTCATGGCTCATTTAACCCGGCGCTGATGGGGAGAGAGAGAGAACCAGCTGAAGGGTTTCAGGTACGAGGGCAGGGGCTAAAATAAGGCACCGGCTGGAAGATGCAGAACAGACTTCCTTCTCGACTGGCCGCGAGCGGGCGTCGTGTCCCGTCGTTCCCTGCAATTTGTTTCTCAACGGAATTATTAATTCTGCTCGTAACGTGCGCCGGGAATAAAGCAAATCTGAAAGTGCCCAAGACTGGTCCGCTCGCGACACAGCTGGTCAACGTATGTTTCTTGCGTAACGACGCGAAACAGTGGCGAGTAACATTCGACCGTAATTAATTACACGTCTACGAAATATACTGAGCCAAAGACTCGTTCGAATTTCTAACATAAAACATTATTAACAGACTTTATTAATGAATTGTTTATGTTATAAATACGAATCCATAAATGTTGCTGATTTGCTCATTTATTGATTTCCTCGTTTATTCATTTGCTCATTTACTCGCTCACTCATTTATCCATTCGATCATTCAATCAATGTTCCAATCAATCACTCGATGAATTATTTTATAAATATGTGGCGGCAGTAGGTCCTGCATTCGTCACTAGAGGTCTGCCGAGTTAACGCCTTTCCCACAACTACCCGAATCCTTCCTTGTTTGTATACGTATACGTCCCTATCCGACCATTGAATATTCCCGCATCGAAAGTAAAGTCTGCTAGGTAGCCTTAGTAACTATTCCACTAGCAGACCCAGGACGAAACGATCCCTCTCTTTTCCTCTTCACGCCTCTAGCCATCACCGCCGCTATAAATAATTCGATCATTTGTTCAATTAATCAATCATTCAGTTATTTATTCATTTATTCGTTTAATCGATCGTTCAATCATTCCATCATTTAATCGTTGATTTCTGATTTTCTTGTCAGAATCTAAACTGTTTGTATCGTGTTAATAAATTACCACTGTTAATAAACACCATTTAATCGAGGCTATTATGGGAACAATGCTGTTTACGTCCAGCTGTTCAAACCATCCCTTTATTCAATTTATATTATGGGTAGTTTGGGTTCTTATGGCCCCGGAGCACCCATTAACAGTGTACCCATCGACAAAGTGTTAAGACGTGTAACGATCGCCCGGGTGAATAACGAGTTCTTGCACAAAGTACACGTTGTTCCCGGGTACGCTATAATAATCTACGCTTAGCAGCTTGAGGGTTGGGGGCGGGCTTCAGCCGTAGGGCTGAAACGTGTTGGAACAAATTTTGCATATTTCCCGTTATAAACGATAAGGACAACAACGGAGGCGCAGCGTTGGCCGGATAACAAGGCTGTGCTCAAAACAGACGGAAAAGACTGCCGCGTGTCCCTCTTAAATTACTTCGTCCCAAATACTTCATTGGTATTTTGGCAGTTGCTCAACCAGGACGTGGCACAACGATGCTCGTCGGTATTCAGACCATGTTGGGTTTTAGGATCTGGGATTTAACACGCACCAGCCTTGTAATTAACGACGTGTACGAAAGTTACAGCGAAGAGGGTTCAAACAACCACGAAACTTTAATGAAACGAACACTTTTATCAGCGAGGAAGAACCTACAGGAATAAGAAACCTTTATTTCGTGAAAATTGGACTCGACGGTGATCCACCAGTCTTGTGAAGAAAATAACATAGCCAATACACCTTCGTTGGAATTTTCGGTTCACTTTTCTTTGACCCAACGCGTGTACCAAAGACGAAATTCCTTCTGATATCTTACACCTTAATCAGAATACTTCAGCGGACGATGCGTATTCACAGGTCGATTTGATTGAAGGACCGCCAAAGGGAAGTGAATTTTATTTCCTCGATTCAGACACCTGGGTATTCATACTTCAATGTACTCGACGTTCATCGAATTAATATTTTCTGCGTCAATAATTCTGTGTTCTTCTTGCTCGCGTGCCTGCGCCACCCCCTGTCGCTTGTTCCTTTGAGAGTTCAAAGTGACAGCATTCCCAGCGTTTAATGACATCTCCAGGGGAAACTGGAAGGGTATGGCCGAGGCAATCCGTGAGATAAAAGAAGACCGTCGCGTCGGTACGATCGAACGAGGCCGACGACAAACGCGAAACGTCCCTCGGGATTTTATGAGACGAGATTTCTTTTGTCGAAAGAAACGCGCTTTCTCCTTGACTGGGCCGAATTCGTCGCTCGTTCTTACCTAACGATCGATCCAGGCTACGTAATTAAACATTATGACTAAGGCAAATCTGTTACCACGATACACAATCATAATCGCTTAAATTCGGTCGGCAACAGCTAACGGGACTAATTACAAAGTTCCCGGTAATTGCCACAACCGTGCCATAATTTGTTTCGACAAACGTCACGTCGCTCAAGGCGGAGGAAATTGCACGTGGAAAACGCATGCGTTTCGCGACAGGTCAGCCGTGAATGGTCCTCTCTCGTGCAGTGAAATTCTAGCTCACTTTTTTACGACCGCAACAATGCTCTCTGCCGGGAACTAAGTGGTTGACATTAAATCTTTATACGAAACGTTGACGACATTTTTGTTGGCGAGAAGCGTATTTCTTGAAAATTAGTGTAACAGGCGGAATTCAAGCTATGGTTAGCATCTGGGCCATTGAATCCAGAATATTGCAATATATTCTTGTATACACTGCGTGACATAACTATAAAACCACCCTAAAATCTTCAATTCTTATGTATTCGTGTCGAAAAATAATGTTTCTCCAGAAAACGGTAGATTATATTCCCTAGAAAGCAAATTAGTTTGTTTTTATTTTAACCAGAATACACAAGGATAGAAAATTTTAGGGTAATTTTATAGTTATGCCACGCAGTGTAGTTTGCAAAGAGAACAGAATGTGTTAATCAAACTGTAAAAACATTAATCTCGTATCGTGAAATAACTTGTTCGTATTAGAATTATGCTCGGGAGGAATTACAAAGAAACAAAAGAAACAGGCACAAAATTTGGTTAACCTGTCAATGGCAGAATATGAAAAGGATTTGGATAAAATTGAAAAGGTTTTGAATATTTTGAATAATTTATATGGGATCGTTTAATACAGAACCAGTTCAGCAAAAAATAGCGCACTGAAAAAGGCTTTCGGACCCTGTCCTCATTGTTAAGGTCATATTTTTCATTTTATGGGACGAAAAGTTCATTTTTTATTTTCTGGGCTGCAAAACTGTGCGAACGCTCGTTGCAGCGTGCACATATTCGCGGTTGCGTTCAGAACGCGTTGCGTATCTCCACGGCCGTATGTTAAACGACAGAAGGAGCAACATTGTATCGTGCGCACGTCGTATATTCGTATGACGTTACGACGTCATAAAGTATCGATAGACCGATCATGTTGCACAGCTGGGTCGTACGTACGCGAAATAACGGGCTCGATCGATAAGGGCCGTTAGTTGAGCTCACCGGTAACGCAACTTAATACTATTCGCTAATGCGCCGCGCAAGTAATCGCGATGCATATTGCGGAACGTGATCGATAATGACCGGATTGAACGAACTGCTGGTTACATCGAATACCCTCAACGGAGAATCCCGTAGAATGGAACGTTTGTCCTCCATCCTCTGATTCATGGTCATACCGTGTGTAAAATGAAGAACATTTAGAGCTTGAAAAAAGGTGTCTTCGTTCACATCTGTACAGTATTTTTCAATTAACTATTAATATTGACGGTCTTATACAAATTATGATAACAATTGCATTTACACAGATCAAATTGACAGAATTGAGTATAAAAAAATTTACTTTCATGATGTAAGGCTCGTTCTCTTTCGTCCTTTATTTATTGTCGAATGAGCTTGTATTAGGGGTCGTTGAAATTTTCTAGACATCCTCCATTCTACTAGGATTAAAACAAGTATAGCATGTCATTTAAAAAAAGTGAACGTGACCGTAAATGAAAACCGTGAAGTTGTTCTCCATTTATCCAATCCTAAATGAACCAAGGTATTAGCCACCTTGTGTACAGTTACACGTTCTGTAACCTAATCACATAAATTACGCCACAACAGTTATTCACAAGTATCCAAATTTGCGTAAAAATTGCGAGTCTATCGACGAGCTGTCCATACCTGATGTAGACCGATCTTCCGGTCAAAGCAAGGTAAAATTTTCTCCGCATTGAGGTAAACCGTCGCTGAGCAGCATCTCAAAGAAGAGTGCATTTCTTGGTGTGGCCTACGGTTACAGAAATTTCGTCGATCCGCGGTACGAATACCGAGTGATCCAATTGAAAGGGGAATAGCTGCGGTACCGAGGAGCACCGTCAAAGAAATCGGAGCTCGTTCGAAGCCGTTGACTCTAACAGAAAATAGAGGCTAGCCATGTGTTCGTAAGCGCGTTTCGACTTGGTCCGAATTTCGTACGCTGGGCACGCGGTTGTCTCCGAATAAATCACGGGTTCGTTCGTTCTGGCCACTTTACAGAGATCGTGGGTCCATGGATAGCTTCGCTTTCGCGAATAAAAGGGTAGATGAAGATGCGGTGGATTCTGCTCGGACGCCGTGGGAAGAGATAAAAGAACGGGATAAGACGAACGGAATGCAAAAGAGGAAAAAGATAAAGCTCTAGTCTTGATTCGAACTGTACGCCCTTTGATTCGCAGAGTAGGCACTTGAAACGCCTTTTTCCTGAGCCGGAATGGTTCTCGAGGACACTTGGGCAACGATTCAGGTGGTGCGGTCGAGGAGCAAGAAGAGGGAGGGAATTACTGGGCGAAGTCAAGAGAAACAATTGGTCTCAAACGTGCTCTTGGAATAACGTCGTTCGACTGTAGATTATTAATCTCATTTCTGGAATGAACGAAGGAGAAATGCTTTATGATAAAAACTATTTCTGACAAGGAGAGGTCCACAGGTGTAATGCTGAGTTTTTATTGAAGTTTAGCACAGTCATAGAGTTTGGAATTGTGAAGCCAATTATATTTGTTTGAGTTGTATATGAGTTTATGGGATATTTAATTTCTGCTCGGATGGTAGAACACGAAAGAACGTAATTTTATATAAAAATAAAACGAAAATATAGAATAAAATGATGCTACATTTTCAAGATAATAAATTTTCGAAACTCGTGTTGACAATAAGTAGAAACTGAATGTAATAAACAGATGCATTAACCAAGGCGTTTTCATTTGTACGCGCATCCAACAAATTTTCAAATTCAATTATCTTGAAAACGTAACATTGTACAACAACATTTTATTCTACATTTTCGGTTTATTATTACATGTAAAATCATATCCTTCCACGTTGTACCACCAGTTCCGAAATACCTTGCATACAGGCTACAATTTTAACATTAAATATCTCGGAAATGAATGACCACATGTGACTGAAACAAATATTATTGGTTCCAAAATACCAAGATTTATCACCGTGCTAGACCTCATTGCAAAGCCAGCGTTACACCTGGGGATCTCTTATTGTCAGTGAAGTGAGGGAACATAATTATAGGAAAAACTACAAATATGGCTCTAACAATGAGAACGGAATTTTGAAAATTCAAATATGCACAATATTGCTAAGTCTCTGAGAAAGTAATTCTCAAGTGAATACGTAACATAATCTGAACTCAATTATAAACAGACTGAAGATATTCAGTAGATTGACCCCGTATTCCTTCAGACCGAACAACGCGAGGCTGTTCCATCGAACATACTGATAATTCCGCTCGGTTTACACACGTTCCAGGTAATTTGAACGGAGCCCCGGTTGAATCGGAGCCCATTGAGTCGCGTCCAAACGATATCCCGTCCCATTGTAATGAAAGTTAATTCGGCCATCCGTTAATCGGTGTGTCCGAGTTTAATCTTCACAGTTTGCCCCGTTCATTTTCCAGGTAAACGGATCGTGGAGCCTGCCGGGCTTTGTCTGCGACTTTTACATCGCGATGGACGTCACGTGCAGCACCAGTTCCATCTTCAACCTCGTAGCAATCTCGATAGACAGGTGAGCTACCACGTGATTCTTTTTATTTCACGGTAACCCAAGGTTCGCCTCTCTCTGTGACGCTTTAATCACCGTGCGTTCCAACGCCTCTCTGTTTTTTTCGGATCCAGAAACGATCAACCGTTCCGGAACACGTGAAAGGGAATAACAATTGTAATTGGTTGGACAAAAAAACCCTGGTGACAAAGGGAATACATCGCGCGTGCCGAGCTCGTGTTACCGTTCGCTAAAGGGGGAGAATTCGCAGCAGATTATCGTCGATGAAGAAAAAAAACACAGAGAGGAAGGAAACTCGAAAAACGAAGGGAAAAGGGGGTGGCTGATTTAACCGGTTTACGTGACACGAATAACAGGACAGAGAGAGGTGGGTGGGGTTAAGGTTGCCTTTCGCGGCGGTCGAAATGAGTACGGAGTTGAAAGCGGCGCCGCGCAATTTCTGTAAATCAAATTCTGCCGAAACCTCGAACTAAATAGCCACGTTCAAGCTAAATAAAGGGGGAGAGTCGGAACGATTTCGTGTTTCCTGTTGTCCGTGAAAATTCGCCGCCACTGTGCACCTTCGTTTCCGCGAATTCACCCAGATTTTATGGAATGTTTGTACAGGGTGTCCTATAAGTGGCGGTAGAATCGGGTATGGGGCGATTTTACGTAAAAGATAAAGTCGAAAGTATACAAAAAAAAAGGTTTCCACATGATACATCGTTTTCCAAAATTCGCACTCTGATTGGTCAGGGTGTTTCGTTAATATCTCCTTAACAAAGCCTCGGAGAACATTTTCGCTAAGGAAAAAGTTGCTTCAAATCACCTCAGACATTACTTCTTTCAAAGACTTAGACCAATTTTGGGACACCCTGTATACGTACATTCGACGTCCAGCGTACACGATAAAAGCAATATGAATCACACGACCACGTTCTTCTTTTCCTTTTTACCATCCCTGCGAACTGCATTAAACGCGAAACCATAAATTTCGATCGGTATATACACGGAGACTGAATGTAACTTCGCGATCGTGGTGTCGGTCCCGAGACCCTCCGAATCCGTGGACGCAATTGGTCGGAAACGGAACGGACGAGTGACTAATACCATGGTTCCGCGGATCCGCATGTTAAAATATGCACGCCCCGGTGCGGAAAAATGACTGCACTCTATTAAGGACATTTCCCTCCTACAGCCTTAAACCCACGGGGATCCGGATCTTACTGACGCGTATTATACGTTTTTCCAGTAAATCCCCACGAGCACGCGTTAATTTAACGATTTAATTAATCAGAGCTTCTTTTCTGGTCCCTTCTCTATGGGAATAATCCCTGGTTTTCTTGCCCTTTTACTTTTTTCGGGACGCAGCCATGAATATTCTCACCGCTGCAATGGGAACAACGTATTAGCGGAAGTAAATGTCTGTAGTTTCGTGTCTTGGGCAAAAAGTGGATAATATTTTACATTTTTCTGAATAGAAAAAGGTGCACGTTATTGTGCTTTACAGTTGACATTCGGTTATTGCACGAATTTCTAGAAATGATGCAGTAAATGAGTAATGATTGTATGTTCACTTGCACGACGTAGCTAAATATAGGGTGGGCTGGATGTACGTACTTTTTGATCGCCATACCATGTCTGGTATTTTTAGATTATATCAAAAAAAGTTATTCACAACAGTTATTCAATATTGAAACATTTTATTTTAGACAGTATCATATACACCGTACTTTCTGTGGTGAAAAATATGCGAGTTAAACGCGATACCGTACGTATCAGTTCTTTCCTTGGTGGACGACAGAGTGGGGTGCGCGCACGTGTATGAAACGACGTTCCTAAGATACAATAAACTGGGCTACACTAAACGAATGTCTACTGTATTTGTCACCGTAGGTGTATCGATCTTAAGTTCACCTTTGTCATGCAATTTAATTGATAAAGATATTTCTACTAAAAAGGAATAAAGGAATATTCTATAATAGCTCTTGCAACACTTACGTCTTAGATATTCTAGACGCGAATAATAAATTTCTTGGATTTAAATTTATTGTAACTGATAAAGACTGTAAAGTCTGTCACTTCGGCAGATTTGTACATTCTTCTGGACGACGCATAGTGGTACAGAACGCCGATTTAGGAGTTCAGAAGCTCAATTTGGGTGTAAAAATGGGAATTTCGGAACCAAACTTGGTAAGCATATATTTAATGTTCATATTTATTAAAAACATACAAAATTAATAAGTACTATTCTTTAATAATAATTTTTTTATAAACAAAATGAAAACTTCTCCGTTTCACGAAGTTACCATTGTCAATCACAAGTTTTCTTTAAAAAAATTATTATTGAAAAGCATTACTTATTAATTTTATATATTTTTTAATAGATATAAACATTGAAATTAAACTTCTGAACTCCTAAATAGGCGTTCTGTACCATTGTGCGACGTGTTAAAGCTGCAGACAGGAAGCTCTAAATTACAAGAAAATACAAAAGCCACGGAATTTATGTATCTTTCGACCCACGACACGAAACTACCCCTTTAGTCAGACGGGCCGATGCAAACGTGTAACTCGACGTCGATCAGACAAGGGGACCGTTAGGACGAAACGAATTTGAATTTCAGATACATCGCGGTGACCCAGCCGATAAAGTACGCGAAGCACAAGAACAATAGAAGAGTGTGGCTCACGATACTGTTGGTCTGGGCGATATCGGCCGCGATCGGCAGCCCAATTGTTCTCGGTCTGAATAACACCCCTGACCGAATACCGGACCAATGCCTCTTCTACAATGCGGACTTTATCATCTACTCGAGCCTATCCAGCTTCTACATACCCTGCATCATCATGGTGTTTCTGTACTATAACATATTCAAGGTAACAGTTGTTAAGAGAGTAATTAAACCGTACACTGTTCCTTCTCTATAAACGCACTCTGATGGTCTCGTTATAACCTCATCGTTGACCCTGCCATATTACAGGATTTGTTAACAGTAGGCGGGACTCGACTACTGATGATGAGAGAGTTATAAACAGAAATTAGTAGTCAGCCAATGAAACGAGAGAATCATGATTACAAACGCTTTAAACGTGCGTTACTAGTTCCCAATGGCATAGTTATAGCGAGGGAATACTGTATATGAAACTCCGTAGCGCGAGAATTACGAGTTGAAAGTCTTCCTGGATAGTCGTACAATATCAGACACGGAACGACACACATTCGGAACTCTCTGGCATAGTGCTTGTAATATTCCAGCGTGCCAAATTATGCGGGTGTAATTTTAACGCCAGATGGAACGAAGTGTACCGTGGGTCTGCTGGGTTTTGCGATTACGTTGCGGTTAATCGTAAACACGTGTCGTTCTACGTTTTATGTCGGACAAATTTCCGTGGACCATTTTGTTCTCGTGATCTTTATGAATTTTTCTCAAACAGAAATAAGGCTTCTTTTAGTTTGAAATAGTCAAGAAGGTAAAAGAGTGTTGTACGATTCTACCGTAGAATATCGTAAAAACGGTCGACGGTTCGTAACGTGAAACTGTATTCTTGCTCCTTTCCTCGCCATCAAATCCCGTTTCTTTATGTCATCACCCCCGGTATAGAAAGTTATCGAATTACAAGGAATTCTCATTCGAACGACAGAGCGACCTTACGCTCGGTTCGCAAGGAATCATACGATCGTTACTGGATCGTTGGTACAACTTGACCGTTTTCTTTTCCCCGTGGTATGGCCACACCGTCGTAAAAGTATAGTGGCGGCGGTTTAACGTCGGGAAAACCGGGAACGGGTATCCTTCGAAACATCGATGTAAAAGTATGAAATATCATTCCTTTATATGCAGCCCCGTAACACGCCCGCGGAAGGAAGAGTTTCTCATAATGCACCGGTCGCTTGCTGCGGAATTTTCAAATATACCTTCGAAAGGGGAAATATTTCTTATCGTGAATCGCGATAAATTCTTTCGCTTTGATATGCGTGACGAGAATTAAGTAGATCGCAAGCAATATCTGGTGGCTTACACTCGTGTTATAGAGCACTTTAACAAAATATTCCTTATAAACGCAATCGAATTCTTCGGATCATGTTAGAAATATCAATGAGTCCCTTGAAAAAAATATTTGTTTGTTAAATAGAGTATGATAATTTATTTCAACAGATTCGTAAGTGAGCTGTACTTCAATTTCGCCCAATTATTTTCTTTATTACATTATTGTTTATATTTAAAATTTTGATTACATTTCAACTATATTATGCAAGGAAAGTTATTACCATAATTACAATTTCACCATTATCATAAGGACCGAATTTGTTGGTCGTATTCATGGCAGGTTTCCCCAACTGAACGGTATCAAGTATGATCCAACACAGCTGAACTTAAAATGAGTAAAACTTTACATGAATATAACTTGGTGGATAGTAACAATATAAACGGGTCCATTCATATTGCATATTCTATGAACTGTTGAATAACATTTTCAATTTTCTCCGAGTAAAATATTATATAAATTCTTTCCATTCAGTGTCCAACGAATGAATGATTCATTGTTTATTCATGACTCATTATTTTTTATTTAACGACACATTCCATCTATTTTTCACTATAATGATCCTATGTATCCTTATTAAGACGTTTCAAATCTCAAGAAAATATGACCCCAATGCATTAAAATGATCGATATTCATGGGTACAGATTGTACCACGGTCCGATGCCAATGTACACTCGATAATGGGTGTCGAACGTGTTATCCGACACGCAGGAGAATTTATTTCGCGGTGCTGATTTATCTTGAACCAGCGATTTCAATTTCACGTTTCCAGGCGTTGCGGAACAGGGCGAGGAAAGCCAGGGCCAACCGGAAGCCGAACATGGGCGACATTAAACCCGGCAGTATAATCGAGAACATCGCGCATACCCGCAGGTGAGACGACACTTCCCTCCTCCGTGACCGATAATGGTCGCGTTACCACGTTCTTCTCGAATTCACGAAGAATTTTCTAGGAATTCCTTCAGAAGCAGACGCCGAGGTTAAGGGAGAAAATGAATGGAAATTCTTTCGTCGGGTTTCAGAAATTTCTCGAGAATTGCTACCGTTTTCCGCGAATAAAAATGTCTTCGACGCCGTCTAATATCAGTGAAGGCGAAATTATTGATTCGATATATCGTGCGAAATCGTATAAAGTTCGAAAATGCCTCGGTGAAAGAGAATCAAAGCCAACACTTCGTTGACTGTTGAAAGGAATTTGATTGACCGATTGCATGCTGTATTATTACGTTGTTTCAAATGAACTGGTGGATTTTATTAATTGTTATGATTTTTTGAAGGAAAACCGTTGACAACAAAATAAAATTAAAGTGTACATTTGGTTGTCTGTGAAACCAATTTCCATCGAGTCCATTGTCCATCAGTTTACGTGCAACAATCTAAGTTACATTGTCGATTGTAAGTTTGGAAGCAGTAGATTCCTAGCATTCCATAAATTATACTAAAACATACAGTTCTTTCCATACATACATTTGTTCGTTCTAATTTTTCATAATCTCCACCCTACAAGCATCGTGTAGTCTTGCACGAATAATAAAACTTATCAGCATCAAAAGTACAACTGCACAGATAATTTTAGCCCAACTATCACCCTAAATCGTACTGTCCATTATCATAAATGTTACCACTCGAAAACAGCTTCCAACCTTTCACTCAACAATAACCAAAATATACGCACGTTACCCTTCCATGTTCACAATTGCACGAATCTCCGGAGCATGAAATTAGAAACCCCTTTTCCATCGAACAACGACCGAAGAATCATTCAAGCACGGAAACACGCGACGAAGTCGGAAGACACCGCGCCCGTCGCGATCCCGTCCGCAATATCTCAACAGGAAGCTACATACCTACGCGCTAGGAGCCAATTTTCAATTTCCACGCTGGAAGGAAGCGCGGCGCGAAGCCAGAGATCAAAGTGCTCTTTAAGCGCGATAAATTCACTCGCGGATCCAGTGAGTCGTGTGGGTACACGCGACCCGCTCGAAGACGTACGGTCTTCATTCCGAATGTGTCGCGTGCACAAGGAGACCGCCATTTTTTTTCAATTTTCGCCCGTATAACTCTTGCATTCCAACGAGGCGATTTCTCACGGAGATTGGCGTCCCGTGGAGAGGGAGGATATGTCGGCCGAAGTAGGAAAGACGCCGTGCGCGTAGAAAAGAAAGTCGTCGGGCAGGTGGAGGAAAAAGGAGGGGTGGGTGGTGGCTAAGGGGGTTGGAAAGGATAAGGCGAGGTTAAGCTCCGAGCATCTCCGGATAATACGCTTTTCTTCGCGCGAGAACGGGGGCTTCATTTCCGTTGTCCCGGGGTCGGCGTACTTGCCTTGAATAGCCAACTACTTCGCCTTCGATTTAATTGCCGGCTTTTGTGCCTGGCCGTTCGCCCGAGTGTCGTACGTTTGTTCATCGACGACGGGAACTATGGAGTCTCCCGACGGTGGTTCTCGCCGGTCGAGTCGAAGGCACGTAGACTTGTTCGTCCTGTGAAGATGATTTAATGTCCACTTTCGAGGCCCCACATTCTTTTTCGTCGTGGGAAGGGAATAAATAGCGTTCTTGTCGGGCCACCTGGACCGGAGGGAAGGTTACAGCTTAAGAGATTCTTCCTTTGATCCGGTAATGACGCGTATAAAGTAACGAGGATATACGAATGACAGAAGAGGCGAAAAGTCACTGGGTGGAAGTGTGTATAGGGTGTCTTAAGATTGTACTACATAATGTATTAACTGGTAGAGACTACTGGAGGATATAGATGTATATTGGTGAATGAACTCTTTCGGAAATATTTCGAGTCTTTGATTGTTTAGGTAATTTTTATTGATACGTATACACTGTTGGTAATATTATGAGGTCATATTATTTAGATGATGATATTTAACGAAATATAACATTCGCAATAACACTTGATTGTAGATAGTACCTAAACTTTTCTGATTCCGCGAGGAAATTCCAGTAGTCTAAATAGTTTGTATTTAGGAGTTTCAGATACGATGTACAGTAATGAATCGTAGCATTTCAGAAGCAGTTTGCGTTTTCTGGCACCGCAGATACAAAGTTTGGATTTCCATTTCTGAGCCAAATTTCACTAGTTTCTAATCCGCACAAGGTGTCTCCTCTATCAGAGCGATATCGACTAGGCCGAGCGATATTCACGATGGTATTCTGGCTCCCTAATTATTATTTATAGGTCGGTTCCTGACTGCCACGGTTACGAAGTAGGATGTACAAACACCGACGATAAATTAGACTTAGCTGTTCGTAGGAACGGTCACATTTTGGCTGTGCGACCGCGTCTTTTCCCCTGGGTCCGATGTATTCAACATAATCTCGGACCTGCGTCATCCTCCACAAATTCTCCCTGCTCTTTTGTCCCCTCATATGCTGCAACATCAATAACTCTGGTGTATTAAAAAACGACGCGTTGCTCCTATTACGCTCCACGAAGAAATATTATGATATATCGTGAACTGAGCGAAAATGGCGGAAGTAATCCCTTCATTGTTACAATAACTTCAGGTGTATTACCGAAATACCGTATTACACTTTTGTCGTATCATATTAAATCTTGAATATCCTTGTGAATAAATTTTCTATCTAGCAGAAGTTAAGTGAATATCTGATACATCTATTAAAGTATCTAAGAAATATTCTGATATACAGGGTGTCGCAGTTAAGTGTGATTCCCCGAATATCTTTTCTTAATTGTGAAAAACACTTTCTTAATTTCAGAATTAAAAAAGATATTCGAGGGTCATACTTAAATGGGACACTCTGTATATATTGAAAGTGTCCCCTCCTCCTGTACAATGTACTCCCCAAATTCCTTGTATAATGTTCCCAGAGCACATCTTCAAAAAATTTCTCGATAAATAGAGATAACTTGAGTGATCGATTTCGATTCCTGAACGAAATCGTTACACCCTGTAAAGCCATATCGGAACGGTCCGCGTTAAATAGTCGAAGCTGTGTTATGCTCGCAGATAAGGATAATGCTTTCAGATATTAACCTCGCCGGGTGCAAAGTTACCGTCGAAATTTCCCGAGCATCCGAAACTTCGCAGTTTGTTTTCGTTGTTGCCGGCCGCAACTTTCGAAAACAGAATTATTAATTATTTTCACGGGCTCGTATCGAGCGTGTGTCGAGTGGTACGCTTGAAAATTTACGATCCGTTCGTACTCGAGGAGCTCTCAATCCGTGAGTTACAGCCCGATCCGGTTTAGTGCGATCATTTTACCCTGGTTCAGTGTTAGTAGAACAATCCCAGTCTTTCTTTTGTGAATACCGTTTGAACACCTCCTCTATCTCTCTTTGTTAAACGAGACATCCAAATGAAAAAAAACACACTTTAACTGGAATCCTCCTAGGTTATTTGCATTTCATAAAATCCAGAGAACTTTTCATACGATTGAACGCTGTATATAATCCACTTACCTAATGTAGTTATCATTATGTACACAACTGAATCTCGATTATTGCAAACCTTACCTGAACAAATAGAGAATAACCGAGGAATGCAGTGTTTGATTTAGCTTCTTGATCCAAATCGACATCGAAATGAATTATGCAGATTGCACATATGTAATATAAAATCTCTATTCTCCTCTGTTTTTTGAAGTTCACCGCACTGTACGCAGTTTGGCAAATAACGAAAGGAGATTGTATTTGGCCTCAATTTTCCACCATCCAACGGTTTATCGGGATCAGCTGCGCCGATTCCAGTAGTAGCCGTTTCGCCTATCCAACCTGTAACGTCAGTTACATACATACCTGTAATCCGATCACGGATATACCGCGTACGGCTGCCAATGTCCACATTATCCGGATAATACGACAATCGAAATTCGTACATAATATACACACGCGTCTTGCGACGATTTTATCGGCTACGAACCTAGGAGTCTCTGCGTTGAACGCGACGGGCCTGCGTTCCCATTGGCGGAATTACCCTGGGGACCCAAGCCCTTACATCGGGTCAATCTCGATAATCCCAATAATGTCTCAATCCATCGAACTCTCACGGTGAAATTCCCGTTGACTCCCATCGGGGAAGAGTTAAAGCCCCGAATGTTCTTTGTGGACCGTTTGCGTTATTTATCTTCATGACAGTGAATCATTAGGTTGCTGAATCATAGTCCCATGAAGATCAATAACGTCGCGGTGATAGAAGTTTCTTTATTTATGGATGTGAGCAGTTCACGTGCACTCCCGTTGCCATTGTACTAAACGACTCAAACGTTCAAACAATAATTATAAATAATCATTCGATCCAATCAGTTCTCACAATTGTTTTGTAAAGTTCGACTACAGAATTAAACAATACAGAATCTCCTTCCAAGCAATGAGCAATTAATGTTTGCCCAAAGTTAAGATTTTTAGAACAACAAACTACATACCTAAATCTGTATTTCATTGTCGACAATGCACAGTATCTGTTGAACCTTCCTTCGACAAACAACTCCCTTTAAGAATGTATGGCCAAGTCCTCCGCGTCACAAGTCGAGCTCCGTCAACAGCAAACCTTCCATTCCTTCGTCCAACAGAATCACGCATCAGGATGTTAATTCAACGAAGTAGCAGCCGGGTTCTTTATTCGAGGATTCGCGAAAGCGCGCGGTCGTGATCGCTTTTGTGCATGATAGATTAATTTTCTGCCCCCTTTGCCGGATTAACGCCGCGCGACGCCCGAGGTATACTAAAAGCATGCTAAGTGTAGAGGCTTTTTTTTAGACGCTTTTGACTAAGATCACGTAGTGGGTATTGTGTGGCAAGGTTCGCGGAGACCGCGCTTGGGGCGGCTGCCCTGGTTGCTCCGGGGATGGAGGAGCCGACGAACACAGCGTCCGGTAGCAACGAGGACGAGGACGAGACACCGCTCGATCCCGTCGTGGTCATCTCGAACGACAGGAGCACCGAGTTCTTTTTGGCGACGGTCGTCGAGGAAGCAGCGTAAGAGTCCAATAAACTTCACGGTCGCCCAGCGGCCGAGACGAACGTTCGCGACGGTCCTAAAGCTACTGTTTTTCAATCTCGTTCACCCCTCGAGTAACGCTCGACGGTCCCGTTTCCACGGGTGGCCAGCCATGAAACTGCTGTGTCCACGATTTAAACGTTTCGCTGGTCACCGAAACGGCTGTATCTGGTCGAAATTACGGGCTAGGTGAAATAGTACATTACACGAAGATCATTCTATTGATTCTAGGAATTTGTACTGAGTGCTTTTAATTCGATGGCACGTAATATATGTTCACGATATACTGGGTGGCGATAATAGAGACATATTATGTATTAGCAAGTGTTAGGGAAAGTTGTTAGACAATGACCACATTTTTTTACTGTTCTTTTAACTATACTTCGTGGAATTTACGAGATACCAGGAAGATGATCTGATGATACATACGATGGTGAAAAAGGTGTTTGGCTAACGAAACTATTTCTGAAATTTAGTGCTAGCAGAGGGTATAATATTTTACGAAGTCATACCAGAGACTAGCATTTTAGTCTTGACGGTAATACCAGGAAGCTTTTGTCATTTTTATCTATCTCTGACGGATAGTTTACAATTCCCTCTCCTATAAATGTTGAATGTAGTATTGTCAATACGTTCCTCTGAGGCAAATATTTAAAAAATAAATCTTAGTCGGGGTTTTTTTAGTACCGCCGTTCGAAACCAAGAGCCGGTACATCTTTTATTGTGATCCGCTGATTCATTGGCGTAAAGAATTATTCGCAAGCACAGTCGATAAAAATAGAAACCGGACCGCCGATAAACCAGTCCACTGTGAAATCGATTCGTTTGTTTGTCGACTGTCCACTGGTCCAGCAACTCGGAGTGGTCACCGTATCGATTCGCTACAGAAGATGCAGCCCAGGAGATCGCTCCCTTCAGGGGGAGAAGGGCAGAAAGGAGTATCCTTCACAGTTCAAATATTAATATAATACGTACAAATAAAAACCGGTAATAGAGTACATAATAAAACGGGAAATTGAAGTAACAAGTAAATTCACATTGGGACAAACAACAGCTTCATCACAGCCTTATCATAGCAGTCTCGTGGATACGTGTGCTAAGTTTACCCTGCTGGATCTAATTAAATACAACCTGAATTACCTTGTCCAATAACAAACTTGTTCTTTCAAATTCTTGTAAATTCATTCAAAGGCAATAAAATTACCAGAAAGTCTAGTACAAAAAAATCAATCATCCGGTCTTCCCCGTTTAACAGTTCAAATCTACGGTACCACACATTTTCCACTCTACTAACTTCAAATCCGTCACAAAGGCCTAACTACAGTAACCGCCTCACGGAAATCCGTAGTTCAATAGTAATTACAGAATCCACTGGTTAATCACGAGGCCGAGATACGTGGTTCGCACACATGGAAACCGCGTTGTACCAGCTGATATCTTCCAGAGTCCCATCGCGTCGACGAACCAGCAAGACTGGTCACGTAGAATGCTTTGTCATGGATGTCGTACACTTTAAGCGTTACTGTACGATCCAATCATTTTCCCGGTGCCTCGTTTGGAAAGTCGTTACGTGGAGGAATCGTATCTACGAGAAACGTTCTCCGCGAGGGACTCCACCAACGTTCGTCTCGGTGGTCATCGGGGACCGGTTCAGCTCGCTAGGTACCTTGTCTGGGGTGTAAAATCGCCCCGTGTATTGCCACTGATACACGAATTGCAGTTATCGTTTCAGTGCAGTGGCGCACGCTCAGCTCGGCGGAACGCAGAACGCGCGAAAGGATTCGGGCTACGATGCAGCTGCGAGCAGCATGGCGATCCACGAAACCCTCGAGACGAACTCCAGTCCGAGCCCGAATCCGCGTATCACCTCGGCGCCGTCTTCCTCGACCTCGTCATCGCCGCCGCCGAAGGGGGCGACCCCAAGTTCCAGTTCGTTGCCGAAGAAGAACGGCGCCGAGGCGAGCAAGCAGGAGCTAAAAAGGCTGAAGAGCGCGGGTTCCCTATTACCCCTTCAGCTTGGACGTACGCAAAGTGTCATGTCCGGCTCGTCCACCTGTAAAAAGGACAAGAGGAACGCAGCGGCCGGGTCCAGGTTCACGATATACAAGGCGAACAAGGCGAGCAAGAAGAAAAGGGAAAAGAGCTCTGCAAAGAAGGAACGCAAGGCGACTAAAACGCTGGCCATAGTTTTGGGTATGTATACCTGGCTACTTTTGGCTAATTTGCAACACAGGACAGTTATCGCGCTCGAATTGTCTTGAGCTGTTCGTTAGTGTTTGTCCTTCAATTTCTTGAAGACGCGAGAGCGATGTTACCGTCGGTAACGATTCCAGGCGTCTTCCTAATCTGTTGGCTGCCGTTCTTCACCTGCAACATCATGGACGCGCTTTGCACCAAGCTCGAGGCGACCTGTCAGCCGGGTGTCACGGCGTTCATCGTGACCTCCTGGCTAGGGTACATGAACAGCTTCGTGAATCCTGTAATCTACACTGTGTTCAATCCCGAATTTCGCAAAGCTTTCCACAAGCTCCTCAGCTTTTAAACAAGCGACGCCGGTCTACGGTCGCGTTTGTCTTGGGGAGAGGAGGAACAACGAGGCATTGGACAATCGAGCAGCTCAACGTGTGCTCCGTCAGAAGGTATACAACACTTTCCATGAACTTTCTTCAATAGTTAATTAAATGGCAATCTACTTTGCGTGGCAAGTTGTCGTTTATTTCACTATAAACTCTTGTTTCATATGAATATATTTCAATACAGTAAATCATCGTTGAGTGTTCGAAGGCTCCTCAGCACTGAGTGTTCAGACGTTATCCCCACTATTAATCCCCTGTGAAACCAGTCAAGTGCTCAGTGGTGAGGATGGCGTCTGAAGACTAACTGCCGAAGACTCCTCGAACACTCATGGATGATTTGCTATAGATGATACAGCTTTCTATAAGATTAGATGATTATTTTCAAAATTACAGGACCGATCGGAATACGTGTAAATAATTAAATGTCGCTATTTTCGCCTGTTGTTCGCCAGAAAACCAGATCACCAGTAATACTCCCTGCGCGCTCGCATCTACCTGTCACGCGTCACTGTTCGAGTTCCCGACGATGTCAAACCGGAGGTAGCGTGCATCGATGTTAGACCCGAATTACAAAATGAATGTTGTAGACTAATTAGCCCGCTAAAGGAGCGCCACGGTGTTAGTCGCGCGACGAAACGAAACGTCGAAGCTCGGAAATCGTTTGAAACGAATAAGAAAAGGTGTGAGAGAACGTCCAAGCTGAAAGGTTAATTGGAACGCATGCAGACCGCGCTGTGTAGATATACTTCGTTGGTTATTTAATATGCCGTGGCAGTATTACTGTAGCTCGTAAGGTATAGCAATATTTTTTGGCTGAACGCAAAAGAACCGAGGGTACTCGCTATATTTATATTGGCGTCTGCTCGAAAAAGGTCTCCTTCGTGACGCGTACGAACCCGCACCACCCTATTATCCGTCTCGACAGAACGAATATCAACGGACGAGGTCCCTCCACCTTCCCTTCGCCACGATCTCTTCATGAATTTTGTCAATGGTAAAGAGGACCCAGAGCTCCGTTTTGTCGATCTTCCGGAACTCGCACGAAGGAGGAACTAAAGTCTCACTTATCGAACACGTCCGACGCACACCGTACCGTTTGAACTTTCGACCGTTCGAATCTTTCTCCTCGTTTAACACTCCACCAGTCGGCGACCACCGCAGTCCAAGTTTCTTATTTACAGAATCGCCCTGATTCGAACCTTCCTCGATATTTCATTCTTTGGATCTCACACTGTCCGCGAATTTTTTTGCTTGAACCCTTCCGGTGCTAGTTGCAAGATCCTATCACCTCTGTAATACTAAAAACGGAAACATTTCATGAGCTTCTTCCTTCGCTGGTTTATTTACCCCACTATTCATTTGACAAATGCACCGAAATACGAACCCTTCACTTCCATATCAATTAAATTGATACGCTTCGATCAAAATACAGCAAATCGTCGACGGAGGTTTTAAGGCTTCTCTGCACTAAACATTAAATACTTCATAAACTAATGGCCATATGCAGCCGAAAGAAATATCATTGGCTTACCAATTCCAAGCTGTATCACTGTGCTAAACCTCATTAAAAAGTCAGCATCACACCAAGGGACCTGTTCAATGCCAAGGAGCATTCAAACACTCATCGAGTATTTACTGTATTCAGTGAAATGAACAGGCCGGAAGGGTTAACAGAAAATTCTGTCATACATATCGAAGTTCTTCTCTCCTCCTCTATATTCTGTCCATCACTTCCGCGTTACGCGGCCACCCCCCTCCCCCCACGATGAAAATTGATCTAGCGTCTATCTGCTAACCGCTCCGAGCGTTCCCGTTCACCGTCGACGGGAAACGAAAATCCATACGCGAAAGGCGTCCGCTCTTTCTTGCCTGTGTGCCAACCCGGATGAAATCTCCTCGCGAAGATAAACACTTTAACGTTTCGGTCGTTCGACAGAGTAGACAACGGACGACGCATCGAGAAACACCTGTGTGCGCGCGCCCTGTATCGATATACCCTACCTGCGCCGCCTCACCGTTCCGTCTCCGTGAGCGAGCGAGCCTCAAGTGTCTCCTGCGACCGAATTTTCAAACATATCAATATGAGCACGAGGCACGATACCTGTCCGTGCATTGGCATCCGAGACGCGTTTACACAGGCACGCGTGTACCAGAGGGGCCACGAGAAACTACAACCGCGGACAAAGGAACCGTCGGATACAGTGACGTGCACTAAAATCTAATTAGCATCGGCTCTATAGATCATCGTATCGTAATACTGGCATCCCCTTTGTTCTTCGTTTCGATCGTGTGTGTGTGGAATGAGTCATTCGCCAACGATAAGTCGAATTTGATGTTGGAATTGTCTTTCTATTGCTTTGAGACGATGGAGGGAAATAACAATAAGGAAGACTGCCGAGTTTCGACCGTCGTCTAGATTGGACTACTACTGTAAATTGTCATGAGCAAGCAATTTGCGCTGTACGATAGACAATATGTGTTGCTTATATACTAATTGTAACTTACATGCAATCACTACTATCATGCACATATTGTGCATCATACGGCACAAATTACTTACACGTGGCAAGTGACAATAATGGTCCAACCTAGGTGATGGTAGAAACTAGGCAACCTTCCTCCAAGACGTAAACGCAAAGTTATAAATTCGAGGATGCATAATGCTTATATTTTGGGAAATAATAGTAACGAATGGTTCATAATTTGAGAAATTGTAGTAACGAATGGCTCATATTTTGAGAAATAGGAATATTGAATGGCTCATAGTGCAAGTTGACATTATCAAGTTTTAGTTACCTCCTCAAACTCGTTTTCCTAAATCTCGGTTGTTCTTTGTCATTGAGCGTGTACAAACGAAAATTCCGACGAGTCTGAAGTCATTCGGTATCCCGCTTCGAAATATGATCGTATCCAGTCATAAATATCGAACGAGTAAAAGCGACACATCACTGTACTCCGAGCACCGCGCCGACGAAACGTTTCGCGTGACCCAAGCTATCGCAATAACGTCTACAATCGAAGCTTTTTACTCTGTATGGACTCTACGAACACGAGTTGTATCACGTAGCCGTAAGCTTCCAAGTGTATATTTGTAAATAACCGTAGGAACTAAAACGAATTCTTACTGACTCGAGGCCGTGTCTGGCAAACCGCGATACGCGAAGAGCCGCGCTAAATAAATCCTAGGTACGCCGTAAATTACTAAAAACACTAGCACGTAACCGATAGTAAGAGTGTATCGCAAATCGCTAGGCAAAAAGAAAAACAAATTAGGGAAAAGTCCTTCTCGATGAATTGTGATAATGAATAGTTTATATTGAAGCAGCGTGTCACGTCCGTAGTGCGAATAACACACGATCCCCCCTGAACCTAGATTCGCTGGACATCAGAGACCCTTAAGTGGAAACATCCGTCGTAAGTCAGACATACACGATACAGTAAATTATCGTTGAGTGTTCGAAGACTGCTCGGCCCTGAATATTCAGACGTGAGCCCCGCCACTGAGGGGTTGGTACCCGTAAAACCATTCCAGCAGTGGGGATGACGTCTGAACACTCAGTGCCGAAAGGTCTTCGGACATTCATCGATGATTTACTGTATTTTCGATTCGTCAAGAAATGTTCCCGTTTTCTGACGTTCAAAGATCTTGCAAACCAATCTAAAATCCATTAAAAATAAATTGTTTCCACGTCAGCTGCCTCTTATCGTCAGAAATTCGTCATTCTTTCGAAAACATAGACGTCAACCGCAAACGGAGGATTTAATCGACATCAAGCGGCGCTGAATCGAAACCGGCCGGCTGTGCTTTTGCTTGGTGCGAAGGAGTTAATTCGCGTTCGTAAGCCCTCCTTAAACCGAACAACCATGGAAATCCGAGTCGTTCTATGGTAAATCCTCCGCGGTGGCGGGCGGTCTACTGGCAAACTTTACGCCCTTCCGTAACCGTCTTAAGGAACTTTTCGCCCGGTTATCCCGGCCAGCGACAATTTAAACGCGCCCCCGATCCGCCGATAGATCGAGCCGCGTGCTATTTCACGCCGCGGCGAGATAAAGGAACCATTCCTCGAAGGGGGGGGGGGGGAGGTTATTAATTGGCGAAGTTCTCTCGCCTCGTCCCCTCCCCCCCTTCGACGAATAGATCGTTAACGGGGATAGGAAAGTTCCGTGGGAACGGTCCCAGAAACACAGAAACGATCCGTCGATTCTTTTTGTCCCACGAGCCCGAACCCTTGAACCGAAACGTCGGGCAAATGCGATCATTAGCCAACCATTCCTTCAACCGATTGTTTTTCATCCGTAACGCTGGAAATGAAAAATTGACCGGCTGTTGCGAACAGAAGGCGAATAATTGGGGCAGATATATTTTACTAATTAACCGACCGAGTTGTTCAAATTGTATACAGGGTGTCCCACTTTAATGTTACGGAGAATGAACAATTTCAATATATTATGGACTAATGACAGGTGTGTGAAAATTAATGATTTGAGGTGATGCTTTTGTCGATACGAAATTGTTTTATATACTCTCTTTAGTGCGAATCCTATCTTTTTACATATCATTCATACATTCTTGAATTCAAAAAGAGATCTCGAATGCATCTGCCTGAGAAAACCAATTATCAATGTCGATTTAATGAGCCTACACTGTGTCCTTACGAAAAATTAATTTGTCATGTAAACGTCCGATCGTACACCGTAAAAGCCTTCACATTTCTTCCTCTCGTCTCCCTTTCACAAGTCACTGGAACTGACATAAACGTTTCCGAACACTTGTATGAAGATAGTAAATTCAAATAAGTGACCGAATACATATGGGAATAATCCAGGTTTCGTTCAAGGGTTCAGGTGTCGCGAGCGATCGTCGATTTAGCGTGCGCTTCCGCGATCGAGCGAGAACTATCAATGCCTAGCGTTCTGTTCCAGCGTAACCGCGCTTGCCGAAAAAGCGTAAGATCGGTGTATTTTTCTAACCTGACACGTAACCCCTCTCTGTATATATATAACAAGTGTGTATGTATTATAATAATGATTGCACGTACGCGAAACGTGTCTGTATTACCGCGGAACGACGAAGTTCTGGGGTTCGGCGTTGTACATCTGTGTAAATATCATATAGTTAATCGACGAAGAGCGTATACGAATGCCTGTGAATGAGTCCGGGTTGCCTCCTTGGATTCGAAACTGAGCCCGAATCCACGGAGATCCCCGCGAAACATGGTTGGAGGCTGGTCTCTAACTCCTCGTTGCGTGAGAATTCAGACAAAAGAAAAAAAGAAAGAAAGACAGAGAACATACACTGAACGAAAAGAAATAAATTAATTGAAACTACCTAGTCAGTGTCCATGCGAGAGAGTGTTTCGCTCCGAACAGAACTACGTTTTTCCTATGAATTTCTTAATTATTACTACGAATGGTCTATACAGGGCATAGATGTAAGACGGCGGTTGTTTCATTCGCCGAGACTAACCGATAAACGGAGGACGAAATGAAACACGGTGAACAAAAAAAAAAATGAATATCTAAGACGCTGTATGTACCGATGGCAATACTTATACATATTCACACGCGAGAACACGGACACGAACATACAGAGACAAACTGAACACACGGACACTTGTTAAAATTAATAAAATATAGTATAAATTAACGGGAAATTTCATTTACAAAAATCCATGTCAACAGTAAGTATTTAGTCACCCTATAAATCTGCATGATGGTACCTGTTTAAGTTATTTCAAGCATTTCTTCGAGTACCCTAATTGTTCTTACTTACACTTACTCTTACTCCACACCCTCAAATTGTCGCTTAACCCGCTCACTGCATCCTTTTGGTATCTTGTACAAACATTTTTTTTCAATAAAATACCAGGAGTCCATTTAAGACTTTTCGTTGGGCCATTCAGAGACCAATAACCATTTTAAGTCTATTTAACAGATTTAAATGAATTTTTTTACATAAACTATGCGTTTGCTCGCAATAAGTAATGGCACTATTAGTCACAGTAACACCGTTTTTGTAACATTTGGATGTCATTTAAAAAGGTTTCGTGCTGCCAATCGTAAAAAAATGTTACAAATATTGTGACTATAGTGACAAAGTAGGCGTCCACAGTAATGAACGAAGGTGTTTAATTAAAAAAAAAAATAATTTCGGGCACTTCAAACTGTTACTTTCGGGATGATTTAATAGATTAGGAGAGAATGTTCGCGGGGACAGTTGAGCGTCCCTTAGAAATCAGGTGACCGTGGAACGTGGTCAATGCAATTCACAGTGACAATGGTCATGGCCAAGAAGGTACGGACGCCGGGTAAATCCAATCTGCAACGAAATCGTTTCACATCGACTTTTACGAACGCCCGGGTGGCAAAGGGCGCCTCGGGACACCATACGGTAGCGTGACCCCTTGTTCACGTCGGACGTCCTGGGTTGTTCGCGCGGCCCATTAAGAGGTAAAGGAAAGGAGATGCAGCGATAAAAAAAAAAGAACCCAGAAGAGTGGCGTGAAAGGGGAGGATGAAGGTCGCGTGGTGCGAACACGGGGGAAAAGATAGTAGGTCGACGCAAGGAATTTCCGACGTAATAAGAAAACATACGAAAGGGTTAATGCGTAGCGACGCTGGCTGAAAAAATACCGAGATAGAACGCGTAACGTCAACAGTAGCTTCGAATAAAGTATGCTGTGTTACGTCAAGGGCTGGGTTATATATTCTTATTTAATCAGAACGAACAGGAGGGGTAATATTTAATAGCCATACTTAGAAAATTCTAAAATGGATAATAATATGAACAGCAGCATCGATAAGGTATGGTATATTACATCAAGATCTGGGTTATATATTCTTATTTAATCAGAAAGATCAGAAAGGGTAATATTTAGTAGCCAGACTCAGAATATTCTAAGATGGAGAGAATAATGCCGATAATAATATTGACAAAGCATAATTGCATTACATTGTGATAAAGAAAAGTCGAGGAGGGTAACGGATAACGGTGTTGGAATTGGCAAACTGGATGAATTAAGTCGGAGAACTAATTACACGTTGATCGTAACAAGTGACAAAATTTATTTCTATTTCTTAAGAACGTTATATTACACACGCTTATAATTAGATAACACTTACAACTACGATATGATTCGTTTTTCAGCAACATTATTCTAGATCCCCGACTTTGGAAGTTTCTTAAACACATACTGTAGTTCCTGAGGTTGTTCGCGGTCGATGATCTACCACACAGGATGCTCCAGGCTCATCTGTAACAAGGAAGTTCCGAGTTGCTTATGCAAGCACTGTGTTGTTCCCTCTCTATAACTTCACCGATCCGGAAAGACGACGCGACTGTAGGAAAGTTTGGGCACGTTTTTGCGACCGTTTCATTGGCTGTCGGCTCCTGTTTGTCTTTCCTACTCACTACTCCACTCTCTCGTGAAAAGAAAAATTATTTTGTTAAATCGTTCACGGCCAAAAATATTAGAATCGACGTTCTGCGTTGAATGTTCAACATGTATACGTGGGTATCACCCATGAAAAGAATCTATTGTTTCATCTAGGGAACACGGTAAATCGATCTCACCAGGGATAATGGAAAGCTTCTTCGGTTAAAGCTTATCACAAATAATATTCTCGTTACTTTGACGTCGAGTTTTCGCCAGCGGTATTCAGACACGAACTTCTCGGGACATAATTAATGTAAATGGGAAACTCGCGGAAAGTGGAGGGCGCATATCCTTCACGGTTAACGTTCTTATTCGTGCATAATACCCTAAATGTAGAGCAAGCAACCAGAGTCTGCGAGAAAAAGCTTTTCGTGATCATAATGGATTTTTTTTTATCAATTCAGACCAGCGATTACTTAACATTAGAGTTCGAGATTTAGTACTCGTACAGCAGTCAATTCACGTGAGAAATTATTTTGAATAGCCAATCAACAAGATTCATAACATTTCCAAGCGACGTGAACAACAATAAATAACAACACGTTCATATTTCCACAGAGCTCGAAACTGAAACAAACAGCCATTGATATTCGTTACGTTATTGTATTTGCATAACATGCAAAATTCCAAAACTGTTCTGACAATAGGTAAACTCTCCGTTCGAGGGTTTACATCATGTCCCGAACCACTGACACGCATGTCGACGATTAAACCATGAAAACTGACAAAATCTAGGATTATTTTGCCACGGCATAATAAATTTAATGCACCATGTACACCGTATCGATGGAATGTTGTGCAACACACGAGGATGTAACAGAGAAAATTTCTTCAGGCGAAATACCGAAAAGGTGGCTTCCATTAAACTATGGAAATCTTGCGATCGATGTATCGCTTAAAATTCCTGCAGGGCATGCACGAGAGTGGAGCACCTAACGACAAACTTCCGCCCGTGCGAGTATCTGTATTTCCCATGTCGGAGGGGGACGAAGTTTCAACCGAAAGCCAAACCATTGAACTCGAACGAGGCGACTTTCCGATAGCCAGAGAACCGCGACGCCCAAACGCATTCACGTCGTTGAAGGAGTTCGGTGACTTTCGAACATTCACGATGCATAAAACAATACGAACTAGAGGGCTCAACTGTTCAGAGAGCCACGAATGTCGTCGAATACTAGGTGATTTGAAGCGGAACTTTCGAGACGCTTCACGGATGGATCAAACTGGTGACAAAGTTCTAGAGAGTTAGAGGATTTTATATATTCAAATAAAATCAGTTAACGCGATTCTAAAGTAGGTGTTCTGTAGAAAGCATGCTAGTCTCCCAAAAATCAAGTGATTGCCGGCTGACAGGCCAGCTGAGGGGCGCGATTACTCGTTGGAAATTCACCTTGGAGAATGCGGGAAGCTGCTGTCGCGGAAATTCCGGCAAACTTAAGCCCACCTTCGCGATGCCAAGCTCCAAGGGCCGTGGGGCAGGATTACTCGGCCGTAAGGTGTAATCTATCCCGCCGTAACCGCCCAGCTGCAGCTGCAATCCTGCACAGAACCGCACGCGTAACGTGGGTTACACGGTACGAAACGTGAAGCCGGAACAATCTTTGGACACCCGTTACCGAGAGGAGCGTATACAAAATAGAAAGACATTTTCAGTATATTCGGCGAACTTAGCCGATTATAATGAGCTACTATAACTTATTCAACGAGTCGAATCAGTAGTTGAATCGCTAATTACAGAAGGAGGACATGTCAACATCTTATAAATTGCAGGGGATGACAATTTTCAAGGGAGATCCTCTGGACATCTCTCGTTCCTGTAGAAAACGGAGATTAATTACGTCCATAGCTCAGTGGATAACGTATAGATACGACCCTTTTCTTCAGTACAGTAAATTATCGATGATTGTTCGAAAGCTCCTCGGGACTGAGTATTCAGATGTCATCCCCACCACTGGGAGACCTCAGTGGAGCCTTCGGACACTCATCGATAATTTACTGTACTGCAGAAAAGGGTCGTATCTTTAAAAAATGGAGATATCCCCTTTCTACAATTAGCAATTCAACTGTAAATAAAGTGAAGTGATGTCCATTTAGGAGGGACTGGGACAAAAATAGTTGCCAGCCAATAGCTGACTTTAGAACATAAATGTTTCGGTTATTTTTACTGACTTGTCATCTGAACAGACAGTAGGATATGACATGTGGAAAAAGAAAGACGGTAAAACAAGTGTGTACACTTCAATCGATCGTGGTTACCTGGAGAATAGGAGAGAGGCTGACTCCTCGCCGGTTCGAACTGTCGTAGATGGCCTAGATGTTGGAAGTTCTGACCCAAGCTCAGAGTAGACAGGCTGCCGGGAACGGTCGCTGACAGGCTGCCCGGTATCCCCGCTGATATGCCACCGTTCAGCCCAGCAGGTAAACTGCTAAATATACTCGGGGACTGACTTTGCGTGAAGCCTGTCCCCAAACTCGATGGTAACGACGTGGCCGAGTTGAGAACGTCGAGGGATGAACCTTCGATCGAAATGTGAAAATTTGAACATCCTATGGAATCTATATGAAATACCATTGAATTTGGCATGAAGGGGAAACAGGAAAATGAAATCGTGATTCGTAGCTTGAAAAATCCTCGGAATCGGAGACACAGAATGGAATTTCGAAAATTACAACTGACCCGGAACGGAACGGGGTAGCATGGCTGTTAATAAACCGAATGGCAACGCGAGAGGATGGTTCGCGCCGTTAGCCTGGAAGTAAAAGGGACAGAAAGATGAAATTTTCTATCGAGGATAGGATCCGTTCGAACGAGAGATCGTAGAACGACTCGAGCGGAATTTTATCGGTTCGTATGAAGGTGTGGCATACCCAGAGGGAAGGCGGCTGATGGCGACGTGTCTTGAGTGGCGAAGCCAGAGACTCTTGGCACTGTCGCGGAGACGTAGTTTATCGTTTCCATCGGTCGAGGAACCGCTGACAAAGTTGAGAACGGTAGACTGGACAGAGAGAGCTTCGGTCTCTCGGCATACGTGTTGGTCAGCGGCACGTAATTCACGGTTTCCGGTAGCGAAGATTGTTGAACCGATAGGCCATGGTTCGGTTCCTGTTGCAGCATATAGTTGAGCAGACTGTCCTTTAGCGCGGACTTCCCCTCCTCCGGATGCACGTAGCTCGATACCGGGTTTTGGATCTTGTTGTTCAAACTGTTGGTCATAACAGGTGGGAGGACAACGTAGTTCAGTAGAGGATTCTGTTCGTTGCTTTTCAGGGTTGTTTTTCCTTGCTGCGCCAACAGATAGGTGAGCAACGACTGTTGCGCCTTGTTCTTCGCCCCGCTGGTGATGTAATAGGACCCTGGAGCCGTGAACTTGCCCGATTGGAATTCAATTGGCGAAACGGTACTGAAAATAGTTTCGAAAGTGAATTCTATAGGATTTCGGGAGATGTGTACATAGAGCAACCCGTTTTAACTTTGTATCTAGACCAAGCTTGGTTGGAAATTTTCCACTATATTTTTTTTACTGCACTGGCAATAAATTTAAAAATATAAAGACACCCTAATCATTCTTTTTTTATAAAAAGTTGGTTCTTTTTATACCATATGAAAGCCACCAAGATTTTTGAAAGATTGAATTGAAGCAAATATGTACAACGTCTTAACACTTGACTAACGAGACTTTTAACAGACTAGATTTCAACAAGCAGATTTGTTTTCTTGGAAAAAAGACCGAATGTGTCACCGTGGGAATGCCAAAGGTCGCAATCGACCGCGCAGGTAATCAATTCGGACAGTGCCATTACGTACTGTCTGCCGAAGGATATGATTGGAGATTCCGTGGCCACGACAGGTAAGCTGGCCACTGTCGGCGGATTCGCCAAGTTCGAAGATTGCTTCGTGGTGACCGATGCGGTTGGTATCATGGAGGTCGCCGAAGTGGTCGTGGCGGTGTCGTCGGCCAGCTGAAAGCAATTACGAACTTTTATTGGACTTTTTAAGATCCGCGGGTGTCGCGTCACACGAACGGATTCGGGAAGTTGTAAACGGATTACGACGGGGGTTGATCAAAAGTTCGCGAGAAGACGAACCGAATTTTTCCGAAACTTACAAGTTCACAGACGGATTAAGTCTGAAACGGTCTACAGAGCATTCTATCATGGTTATCAATTAGAATAGTTACTTAAACTAAGAACCGTTTCTGTTCCATTACTACCATTAATATTTCGTGGATGCATTTATCAACTGTCCACCAGAGGATTATACAACAATCTAGTAGGCAAGAAGAAGGGGTACGTTAAAACATTTGTTAGAAGATTGTTATGGATTGAAAAGGGGGAACTCAGCGTTAGAGGAAGTATTATGTGGAAGAAGGAAAGTGAAAGTAGTAGATTGGTTAGGAAAGGTAGAAAATAGAATAAGGATATTTAGAGTAGAAAGAAAGTGAGAATGGGTAGTGTAAGGAGCAGGGTATACTTAAAGAATGAAAGGATGACTGAGAGCAATGTTATAGAAATTGTAAACCAAACCTTGGTACTGAGATTGGAATTATTAGTAAATATAGTAAATAATAGGCAACAAGGGAACTTCTAAAAACTTCAATACAAATGACAGTTGACTCGATATCGGAATTTCTCCGTCACTGTCGGCTAGTCAGGATTTCGACAGAGACCCAGAAAAATCACCAATGAGTCGTTCGAAGGAAAACCGAAGAAGGCAAGCGGGAGAAGGTTAGAGGAAAGTGTCAGCGGTGTTGAATGGGAAGGTGGAGTGTGTATTTCGCTCACCGTATCGAATTTCACGGTTGGCATTGTCCCCGTGTGCGAAGCCACTTTCGGCACGGAAGTTGCAGACGTATGAACTTGGCTGATAGTCCGAGCTGTGCTGGATAGGATAGACAGTTCCGATGGCTTCTGGGTGGTTGTCGTGGCCGTCGTCGGTGTCATCGTTGTGGATGCCTCCTCGTTCAATGGAATACGGGGAAATCGGCGGGACGGAGACGTAACCGAGACCATGGTTTCCTGAACAGGAAAGACCTTTTCCCTTTATGCTCCATTCTTCGCGAACGGAGATTTCGACATCGCGAAAACGCTTGATAAACGATAAGAGCCCTGCTTGTTGAAAGACTTACCGTGTTTCAGGTACTCCGAATCTCGGCCGAAAGTCTGTTGCCCGGGTGGTTCTTGGTCCTTGTATAAATCGGAGATCCGAAAGTCATTTGGAAAGGATTCCTGCTGATAGGAATACTGTTCGCCAACGGATTGATCTTGAATTTCGTCTTTGAACGATGTCGGATATTTGTATCGATGGTTCGGGAAGGATGGTCCATCGGTGAAGAAGGAAGCCTGGTTCTTCAAGTCTGAAGCGTCCCTGAAAGATTGCCTGTCACCATAAAATGGCCGACTCTTTGGCAACGAGTAGTCCCTGAAGGATATCTGTTCACGATAAGACGACGAGTCTTGTCGGTACGGACGTTGTCGATACGATTGATACTGCGGCGTCTTGTATGGTTGCTCCTGGAACGGTTGGCGTTGCTCGTGGAAAGTTGAATGCTGACGAATTCCTTGATAAGGTGGAAAGTCCTCTAGCGGTGACAGTCTTCCGTCCTTGTAGGCTGCGACGACCGCCGCCATTACAACGACTATCGTCTGAAACAAGAAATTATTCAACGAATATTAATTGTGGCTAAACTGTCACCGAAAAATATTCACCACTTAATACGTAACGCTTTAATACTAGGTCACTGTCACTGACAAAGTCCTGAAAGATGTCACAATGAAAGAAGAGGTGACTCACCGATATCTTCATTTGAATATTTTTTTTTTAAACAAAATCCTAGCTCGCGATGAATAAACTCCCGAGGGCTGAGGACGAATGATAAAACGGATATATCAGTGAAACCGCAAGAGTGAAGATCGTCTGCAGTCGATCACTGCAATCAACTTTCTTATATAGCTACGTGGCGAGAGAAAAACCGCGCCTCGCGACTATATGTTCACTCTCTTCCCTCTGGTTCTCTGCACGTCTTCCAGTTTAAGTAAGCAACCGGATCTGGTAAATCACGTATGTCCACATCTTTCTCCTTCCATGAGAGGTCCATTGCCAAGTTCACAATGGACCCGATTGATTCCTGCTTAGACCGACAAGCTCTCGAGCAAAATGTTCCATTTTCATTCGGTGACTTCTTTATTACACTTTCTTAAACTTTATCACCGCGACATCGTATGAATAAGTCAAGAAATTCGAGTTTTTCACGTGAACAAAGCTACGCGTATGTCTATCGTTACCAGGAGCATTAAAACGGCATTGACCGAGCACAAACGTTAATGAATGGTAGAATTAAAAATTACCAAAGTTTAAATTTCCTTGACCTGAATAGAATTTATACCTCTTCGTTTGAAAATCTAAAGGTCGATCAAGGACGAACGCTTCAAATAAATATACCTTCCCAAGTATACGCCCGAGATCCATTTTTATATACTGAAATCACTTCGTGCAACGCGCTATGATTAATGGGGTATCGTGGTCGAGCAATGCCAAGTTCGGAGATACGTCAAGAAAGTTAATTAATCGGAGCATGGCCGAGCAAAAAGTATGATCTTGATTCGGCTAAACTCGCCCTGGTATCTGGCGCATCTCATGAATCACGAGTGGTCTGTTTCTTATTTGACTTGAAACCGTCCGTGAGAAATTGAAGCTCTATCCGCCTGGAATCACCACCTCGCGGAATTCTATCCGTTGGTACCACAACGGGAGCAATGCAATCCTAAGAACCATCGATCTTTCCCATAGAATTTCACGAGAAAAGAGTAAGCACGGGCCACAAGCATTTTCATTATTAGCAATTTTAATTACAGAAGCGATAATTGAAACCGACACTTTCGAGAGTTGAAATTTTTCATACTCCCTCCCTCGAGGCAATCGATCTTCTATAAACGCGTTAGGTCAGCAGTGCTCGCGATCGCGTGATATATGGATGTCTTAAGGCTTCCAGTAGGAACCACGATGGGCGTGCTGGTGCACGCTCGTCGACTTTTAAGGAGGCACTAGCTAGGGGTTAATAAAAATTATACGTCGCCCGTGTTACATACGGTTAGACATTACTTTACCTATAAAAGGTCGATAACTTAGAGTACGGACTGACCATCACATCGATTAAAGGATTGATTTAACTGCGTTTGCATCGAACCGAGCGATCGATTGATCGAGAACTTGAATATTCGAAGCTAACTGATCCAATATCGTTTATTACATCTAGAGTGCTTTATAAAATTGGTCAATTTTGCTTTACAATTTGTAGAATTTACGCAAAATTTTGGTAGACTTCACGCAATAATTTTGTCGAATTCAGAGACGTACTAACAAAACAAATGGACGTTTCATTTGAATATCGGATTACCGAAGGCAATTTGGAAGTTCGAAAATAAGTTGGCGAACCTCATTTTCCGGGTTTAAGTAGTTTCATAATCGATCGAGAAGTTTTCAATTCATCGCGGAATTTCGTTCTATAGTGATTATTGAACAGCGGTGTTCTATTCGTTACAAGTTAAATTGAAGATTTTACAGCTACAGGGGTCTGCACGCAATCCAATATCTGCAACGATCAACTACGCGGTAACAGTTTATCTGCTGCAATACCTAGTCAAATAGCTTTCTGTAACAGTACGCTTGGCCGTAGTAATAGTTTATTGGAACGTAACTATAATTTTCGGTTAACATTGGTCCCATGACCAGGATATGGAGGTCTGGGTTAGGTTTGTTACTTGCAAGTTCCACGGAGAGTAACGTAAATGCCAAGTCATTTAAGGAAATCCATTTAAGGGCGATTAAACTTGGACGTTGCATACACTTCAAATATTTGTCCGAAGACGCCTTCTTCCACGAACGATTCATCAAGAGATTATTATAAATCCTGGGACGGTATGACATTAAATAAGACCGTTCTGTCTGAAAAATGAATCCACAATGTGCATCGTAATTCGTGGGGAGATAAATGGCGCAGAAGTCGATGCATTCTATCGGTGGTAAGTTTGCGAACACTGGATTTATCAGCACTTTATTCGATGCACGAGGGAATACCAGTCTGGAAAACAATTTCTCTTATCTTCGAAAGCCACGCGGCCACTGGCTGTAATTAACAAATATTACTTCAGACTGTTCCATCTATCTTACTCTGTCGAAAGTCTTTAGGTCATTTTTCTTGAATGTGTCGGATGATTATTTGTGGCTTCTGGGGGAATGATAGAACATTTTCGTGACGTCACACTATTTATTAATTCGTACGATGTTGCGAGAAAGTATTGGCTGTGCTGATTCTTATGTCCACAAGGGCATAGGATGCTGGATGTACAGTAAATAACCTGCTCACTGTATCTTTTTGGTATGCAGTACAGACATTTTTTTTTTATAAAATCAAGGACCAAGTAATTTTAAGATTATTTACAAATAAAAATTTAAAAGGTAAATAACGAATTAGTAGTCACACTAACACCGTTTTTCTAATGTTTGGATATCGTTTAAAAAAATTTGGTACTTGCAATCGCTAAGAAATGTTCCAAAGATTGCCAGTAAAGTAACAAAGTAGGCGTCCACCGCAGGTGGACAAATGCAATGAGCGTGACAACTACGATATAAGACGTTGCAGTAAACAGAAGAATATTATATACGAAATATATAATCAGTGGTTGCCTGGACGCAAACTGACAAGAGTGTTGTGTAACCAATTTAACTCGGGCGGTACGGTGTGTGTTATAATGGCGATACACGAAGATTCTGTTTGGAAAGTAAAATGGGATTCCAGTTTGTTTGTATACGAGCCAACAGCTTGTGTGTATAATTCTGTGGATGCGTATGAATAATTAATTTACGATCGAGATTAAATCTCTTGGGAATCCTGTTAGGAAACGGTGGCAGCATTTTAAAGAATGATTTACAGCATGACATTTTGCCGGAAATATCACGTGTATTTTCGATCGAACGTAACATTCATCGCAAAGCGTTTAAAATTATCGAACGTTTCGTTTCTACTCGCCAATCAATTTAATTCATTTATTCGCTGGACAGCAAGGAACATTTTTCCACAGGTAAAAAAGCGATGTCATTAGTAAACATTGATTGATCCGTCCGCATATCCGCGATGGCGGCGAATCTGGCTGCTATTCGCGCGCGGTTGTGTGTGTTTAATTACTTTTTATTTCGTATCGCCGATAGCCCGAGGTTAAATCACGCCGAATCAGTTCAAGAATTAATCGAAAATGTTACACTATGAAATATCACCGAGGAAAAATAAACGGGAAAGTATATAACGTTCATGCGCTAAAAAACGTTTTTCATTTACTGAAGATATTTTCACTTGAAATTCATGGATTCTGTACAAGCTTGAAATATTATAAATGTAGTAGCTCAGTTAAGTTACTGGATAATTTAGGTCTAGATAATTTATGACATGGCCACTCGAGGCGTCGATGACCTGGAAGGATTGCACGGAGACGTTTGTTATTTTTAAGGGTACAAGAGAGAAGGAAAGGGAGAAGCCATTGACCTGGGAGTTTGTCGAATGGAAAAATGGTAGTGTAGATGCAAGTGTCATAGAAGTAAGACTTACAGAAACAGTGTGGATTTGAACGTTAGAGTGAATTGTAGCGTGGAGAGAAAGTGGATTAGTGTGGCAATAGCGTAGCAATGGAGTAGATAGGTAACCTTAGACATAGCGCATTATTTTATATTTAGTTAAATATATTTTAGTTTACATTCACTTTGCCAGTAGTGATTCATGAAGCCCATCCAAATCGCAAACAAATATTTTAATAAAACGACTGCCACGTTCCACCAATAATGTATGATACCCGAGCTATTTCTGGAAGTTCCAAGGTTCATCTGTTGTTATACAAATACACTGCGATTGCGGGAAATAGCCTATCACTCTGTTATATTGCAACTGGCTTCGTGCACGCGTAAGAAAAAAAATATGACGTTAATTAAACCGCTCGAGGGGCGCGAAATCTAATCACGGTTGCCGCTAGATCTTTCCGCTAGAATTTCACGAGAAAAGAGTAAGCACAGTTATATGTCAAAGGTAGTTCTGACGCAATATTCGGAATGACGTCGTGTATAAAAAATTGTCTGCCTTCCAGGTGGAAATTCGGGAACAGTGAAGGAAACTCATTGCGTCCACTTTCGATGGTTACGTTTATGGAGCGTCGAATGCGATGCTAGTTCATTTGTTATTGCAACCGAGTGGTGATCGAATAAGTGTACAGATGTAAGGATACATAAGGATACACGTTGTTGCGATATTCTTTCAGCTGGCTCGAGTGCTCGCGATGAAAAGGAAAGAAGTTGATCTGGTTACCGAAACTTTCACGCCAAATAAGCATCGCAGAGCCGTAGGTTAACGGCGTAAAAATTGTAAATTTTATTAGCTGGCGGTTGACTACACGCAACACGGAGAATTGTGATTTGCAAACCACCTAATTTTACGTTTTGTACGACCAGCGAAATTGGCCGGTGTAACGATTGGCCCGCCACGTGAAAGACCTTTTGTTGCAGTGGTCTATTGTGCCTTCCAATTAACGACCTCTTCTGGTTACATCCTGCGAATAAATCTAACTAACCGTGAACGAACAATATATAAAAAACGAGCAATCACGATGGGCAAGTTGCCTTTCCTACACGAACATTAAGATGAATTGCTATAAATTTTCGATAAAATTGTGGCTATTACAAAATACGTCGTCCAACCTGAAGAAGGTAAAGATTCCTGCGATATAAAATAATTCTTTATTGTTAAGGGTATTAGAGAATTGGTCAATTCCATCGACGACCTAACTACCTTAAAATCATCCTTTGAACTCCAGGAATATAAACTAATTTTGGTTTGTTAGGGTTGTTAGAGAATTGGTGAAGTCCTTCGACGACCTGACTACCCTAAAACCATCCTTTGAACTCCATTCCTTATTACTGAACGATATTATATCTAAAAAGTAGTCATTACCACAAAGTTGACTGAAGCCTAATGAAGTTTATGACGATAATTGCTTGCTAGGTACAAGAGAGATTAAAAGACGAAAAACTCACGATCGAGTAGGTTTAACGGATAGT